GCTGCATAATAAGAGACAACCAGCTTTGTGGAGGCGGCGAGGATGGTGGATAGCATAACACCTAGGAAAGATAGCTACAAAGCTGCAGACCCACCGTTCAAGACCAACAAACAACAACACCAGGTGTTTGTAGCGAGAAATCGGCTGCATTTCCAGCTGTGATTGTGGCACCAAAACCATGTATTTTAAGCCTAAACATGAGCTTTTCCAAACCATAACCAAGTGTTTTTGTGCCTCAACATAACAACATGTTAACCACAGCACTGTTGAAGTGCAAAAAGAAAAGTTAAGTTTCAACATATCTGCTATGTACCCATGGTTTGCAGAAATGTACAACATTTATTCTGCCGACTAGACTGAGTAAAAACAAGTATGGACAAAGACATACACTCAGCTAAAGGGTGTCAAATCAAAGAGTGAGTAAAAATTCAAAAGGTTTAGCAGCCCTACAAAACCTGTTTTCCAGGCTTGAGACATTTTAACTGAGTGAAACCCAAGAACAGATGTCAGTCAGCTGCTTGTGAATTTCTTGTTCCAGCAGAGTGGGCAGAGGATGAAAGACTTCAGTTAAAGTTGCCTGCTGTGTGACGTGTGTGATTCATTTTGCATCTTTATGGACCACAAGGTTTTACCTAGTAACTCACACATAAACATATTCCTTCTTTCATCCCCTTATTGTTTAACCATCTTCCCCCTAGTGTTCATGAGCAGGCATGCAGCAACAACTGTTTGTACTACTGTAAATGTGGATCCTTTACTCTCTCTACCATCCATCCATCCATCCATGTGGTGAGTTAATGCCGTGTTTGTCTGTGTGTGTAGCTAAGTGCAATAATCGTCACCACAGTGAGGAAACAGGCAAATGATACCCACTTCCTCTCCTCTCTGCACTTCCACCCACTCATTACTCATAGACATGTTATGGGGGGCTTAAAATATCCCACCCACATAAATAATTCATAACCTCAAAAAACCACGTTCTACAATCCCTCCTGGTCTCCATCTAGCCTTTTTTCTCCCTCATTCTTCAACCTCATTTGTCCATCTTTTAGTCCAGGTGTGCTTTTATTCGGCCATCTCGCAGGTTCAAGTTTGCTTTATTGTACGAATCATTTTCCACCTGCTAGAACACTGCAAAACACAGATTTGCAGATGTGATCACACTGGCCCACTGGACACACACACATAGACACACACATCTGCTCCTTGTTTTTGTTCTTCATGCCTCTTAGTGTATTGATCAAGTGTGCATCTGAAGTAGATTTCATAATGGGATGGTGATTGGAGAGCATTAGCAGTGGATGGTTACTTAGCCTTAGTAATTCTATCGCAAAGTCAAGGGTTCATTCACTTTCCTTCCATCTGTCTGGTCCCCTGTGTTCAAACGCCCAACCCAACAAGAACATAGCTCTATTTTTTTCCATTTTATATTTAGCATTATAGCATCTTGCCATGCCAGTAAGAAAATCTGTGACATGGCAGGAGAGTAACTCAGACTTTTCACCTTCCATCTGCTCCATCACTCCTCACTTATCAGCACCACACAGGGAACAGGAGGCTTACAAAGCCACATATCAGTGGTGAAGCTCAGTAGACATGAGCGGATTATTAGACAATTGAACCCTAAGTGCAAATATGCAAAAAGCCCAACCGCCTCTCCTACACAGGAGCAAGACACACAGACTTTGTCATGGTTTTGCCTATTTTGTTGTTGTTGTTTTGGGCTTTTCTGCAGTTGGTATGTGTTTTTTGTGGGGGGTTTTGTCCTTTTGTAGTCGTTCTGTGTGTCTGACATAATTTTGTGTATGTTTTTGTTGGGTTTTTTTTGTCTTCCAGGTCATTTTGTGTCTCTTTTGTAGTCTTTTTGTGTATTTTTTGATCATTTTTTGTCTCTCTGTGGTGTTTTTGACTCACTTCCTGGTCGGTAGGTGTTAATTTGAGTGACATTTTGCAGCTAGAGTCCAAGGGGGTGGCCCTGACACTTAGGACCCCTGGGCCTGTGTCCGGCCCACTCAGTAATCCATCCATGTCAGTAGAGATATCACTAGGTACTGGATTAAGGCATACAAGTTTAATAAGTAGGCTTTTTATTCTCCTGACAACAGATATAAATGCAAACCCAGCTGACACAAAGCACCACAGGGAAAAAAACAAACCCTGATTTGAACAAAATCTTCTCCAAAATTTTGTAGCTGCCTGTCCCGACTCTCTCTCTGCCCTATTTTAATAATTGCAAAACAGAACAGAAACAGGGAGTTGGCTGTAACAGCTTTGGGAGGAGTAGAAAAAAACAGAGAATTGTGATTTAGAGAAGAGCTAGAGATCAGGTCTGTTGAGACACACGGTATAGGGGGCAGAGAAGAAGACAGTGCTTCTCATGAATATTATATTGCACCCTTAAAACTGACTTTAGACAGGTCACGTGTACAAAACAATTGCAAACAGTCTGACATACAAAGTCAAACCAGAAACTCAGAAGTAGGAACGAAGGCCTACAGAGTGAACAACGTGCAGAGCCACAAGAAGCCTGCAGAGGGAAGCCTATCCATACTGTGCGCTACTCCTCATGTGACTCTGTACCGACCCATGCACAGTCAGACAGGAGCCAGACAGTGGCATCTCCTCCTCAGCCTGAGGCTGCGTGCACGTCCAGGGGTCAGGGAGTGGAACCATCTGTTCCAGACACATCTATTTAAACAGTGATGATGGGAGATCAATATGAAGCAGTGAAGTGAATCACTCGTAATTAACCATGCTGAGTTTACCCCTTTGACCTGCATGATATGCAATATAGGTTCTTAGTTATGGAGATATGACATAATAAAGTGGTGGAGGTGGAAGTGAAAAAAGCAAAATGCATTTATGGGCTGCAGGATTAGAGAGTATTAAATTATTAAATTATTTCAAGTCCATCTTAAAACAACAAGCAATCAATATATGTTCTCTGAAGGAGTTATTTGTTAGTTGTTCCTCTCGTCCATACTGGCTATGAAAAGATCTCTTCTTAGGGTGTTTTCACAAACCGAACTCAGTTCTCTTAAAGTGCACCAAAAAGTGGACCAACAGAAAAGAGACTCAGTTCTCTTTCTGGTCAACTTCAGCTCTGATGGGGCCTTAGTCCTCTCTCTGTTCACACAATAGTTTATATATAATATATATTGATGTAGTTTATTTTTTCTACTTTGACGTGGCACTGCAGTGCAGTCATGAAGCCCCTCGCTTTCAGATGAACTTAAAATTGGAGGAAAACCTTAGTGTTTCTGTGCTGTAGACTGTTGCCGTTTGATGTATTCTACATTTCACATCTGGAGATGTGCAGTATCTTCCATGGACCAAACTACTCCTCGTCCTGCATCCTTGCTAGCATTACAGGCCGACGTGGTTTGATCTGTTTTTTCAAGCGTCCCAGTGCAATAGCATGTGATCTAGAGGGCTAAATACAGTGGCAAAGAGCAAAGCAAACCTGGAGCGCTTTTTGTTCACAAGGCACAGTTTAAGCGAACCGCACTATGGACTTAAAGCAAACTGAACTCAGGCCACCCCTGAGGTAGTTTGAATTCGGTTCACTTCGGAGGGGTCTGAGTTCTCTTTGAGTGTTCACATAATGCACAAAAATGCTGAGTCACCACTCTGAGTCCACTTAGGGTGCTTTCAGACCTAGAGCTGTCTTGCTTTGGGCTGAATCAGGGGCTAATTTTGTTCCAAAGTTGCATAATTGCCTAGAGTTGGTTCGTGTTCTCACGGCAGCATTTACAAGCGGACCAAATCAAATGCCATGTGCGAGAAAGCTGCTCTTGATTGGTCAGAATTTCCATGCCAGAAAAATCCAGGAAGTAAACAAAACATTGAAGAAGAGTACACTTGCAAGATAAATGCAACACTTTCTAATGTCACAATGGAGGGACAACTACACAGGTTGATTTTAGTGCTGGTCATCGTGGACTATATTGCTGTCATTGTTCATTTTAGTCAAACCATACAGTTTGAAAATGAGGCGCGGCTCCAACTAGAAAAAAATGTTTTGATGCATTGGATGCGCTGAATGTGCATATTAAGGCAGTACAGGAGGAGGTGCACATTAATAATCCTCCAGGACTGTAACATGCTCATGTTTAACCCAAACAATGTGTCATGTGACTGCAGTTGGTTCAGATCGAGGTCCAAACACGTTCTCACCACAAACAAACCGCACCAGAGTTAGTTTGTAACCAGACCGAGACCACCTCTTCAAGAAGGTCTCGGTCCGGTTGTTTTGAGTTCGATTGAACCGAACCAAACAGGACAGGTGTGAAAACACTCTAACAGGACTGAGTTCAGTTCATTGTGCAAACACCTTAAGTGAACTAAACGTGGACTTGAGGTGAACCTCAGAGGAGTCTGAGTTGGAGTCGGAGTGTTTACATAAGTGCAAAAAATGCTAAGTCATTGCTCTGAGTCCATTTAGAGGGCTGAAAAGGACCAAGTGTGAAAACACCCTTGAAGCAGTTTCAGTGATTTCAGCGTAACTGATGGGGAACAAAACCTACAACCATCTGTTCAGCAGTCAGGTCCAGTGGATGTCTACAATTTTACTCATCACAGTCTGTGTGCAGGTCTTGTGGAGTACAAAACTTGCAGACCTGTATTTCCAAGACAGTTTTGTGGTGATACAAAATTAGAGTGACGTCAGAATTGTGATTGAAAATGAGAAGAGAGAGTTATTATGACTGTCGGTGGTAAAGAGAGCATAAGGGGCAGCCTGGCAGAGGTTAGGAAACAACCCTTTTTTAATCTCCTTAGTCTCATTTCTCTCTCCCTCCCTCTCTCTCTCCCTCTCCCTCTCTCTCCATAAAGCGACATCGCTTTGGTTGGAGGACGAAGAAGAAAAACAGGGATTTTGCAAGCGGGGAATTGGCCAAATTAAACGTAATCATGTTGTTGTTATATCACTCTCACATCTGGCCCCAGGGTGATTGGCCGGGGCACCTCCGCCGCGCCTGCTGTCGGCGCGGTCAGCCCGGGGGTGACAGGACGCGCAGTGTGGTCAGTCGATCCAGTGCGCACTAACCATGAGTCCGGCACGGCCCGGAGCGCCAAACTTTCACCAACAACGCCCGGAAGTTTGTCGGATCGCACTGAAGGTAGGACATTTTGCTCTCCTCGAACAGTCGCTTTCAACAAGTGCTACAGGTTCCTGTGTGATTTTTTTTTATTTATTTTAAATTCAACCAGCTGTTGCACGGTCGCATGAGCGTCTGTGTGCCGCGGGAATAACGGAGAAATCACAGCTTATTTCTTTTACTGACCTCTTTTAGCTGCCTTCGTTCATACATACATTTAGGAAAGTTGAGAAAAATATATATGTAAATGGAATAAAGGGAAATTAAGGCTATTTTTTTCCATATATCTGCACAAATCTCTTCTTTTCAATAGTGTTATATGTCCATCACTGCTGAAATCACAGCTTTACGCTCATATTACTCAAGGACTTTATCAGTTTAAATCAATTTCAATTCAATAAGCTTTACTGGCATGACATGTCTTATGTGCTGCCAAAGCACAATTGCAATTACAAATGCACAGACATACATTTTAAAGGAGAAAAAACTCGTGAAGTGAAGGAGTAAATAAAAAGGCAGAGTGTGATCTGTGATTAGATGAACTACATGTTGTGTTAGTTGTCTCTAAGGCTTTGACATATCTTGCTGCATCTATAGTGCTGACACTATTTCCTCCAAGTAGATGTAACATTATAGTCTGGTCGTAGAGTGAATCAAAATCTTAATTTTTGTAAAGAACTTTGCTCTGATGTCCTCATATGTGCTACACTGTGGCAGGAAATGTTGCTCTGTCTCCACCTGTCTCTGCAGACAGAGCTGACACACCCTGTCTTCTCCAGGCAGCCAGGTCTGCCTGTGTCTGCCAGTCTCTATATGTCCAAGCTGTGATCACTGGCACTGTCAGTATCTTTCTCAGTCTCTGATCTGTCACAGCGGTCAGACAGTTTGCCATCGTGTACTGTCTGTTTAGGGCCAAATAGCACTGAAGTTTGTTTCTGTCTCTATAGGGGGAAACTATGGTTTTCTCCTTTTCCATCTCAGTTGTTTTCAATTATGTTCAGGATTGAGGCAAGTCAGCATTCTGTTTTGATTTTTTCTTAGACTGGAAACTTGCTTCGTGACTTTCAAGCAGTCGTGGTGTTTAATGAGTGCGTCATATGTGTTTCCTGAAAAATCTTGATCTACAAAGTATTTAATACAACTGCCACAAATATGAAATGCAGTAAAAAGAAGGACTTTGAAATACATGAAATAGAGACCCTCAGGTGAAGAGCTTCATTTATTACTTCCTGTCTCTGGCCAAAGGAGACGATGTGCCTCTGCAGAGGGTAGCACTGCTCTTTGGTCAATGTCCTTTTGCTCCTTTGCATGTCAAAACACTGAAATATAGATCCCCCACTGTGGAATAATTCAGCTGAGGAGTTGTGGAAAGTGTCTTTAAATACAGCAAGTGTGCATGGAAATAATGTTTTTCTTAAAATATGGTCTGTTGTGTTGATGCTGGTAGTTTCTTTTTGTGGTGATCACCAGCTGAAAGCCATAATGTACCACAATGTCTTATTCAGCACCATCGGTAACATTCTCATGAGGTGGTTTAATTCAGTAGACTCATGTCCAAGTTGGTAAACTGTTACTGAGAGAGAAAAAAGGGATCAAAAATGGTGGCTATTTTATAAGCAGATGAGGAGATTCACTAAATATGCATGGTGCACTTTGGCATCTGTGTGTGTGTGTGTCTGGATGTCGTGCACGTGTGTCACTTGTTTGTACGCCACCTGAGATTAGTGATATGTAATAGAGTCGGACCAGATGGTCATATTTTCCTCGTCTGGATCTGGCACAAAAAAAGGCTTCTAAAAAAAAATAACAATATTCCTGTGAATGAGACAGGCTTAATCCCCACTGTGGAAGAGGAACGCCAGGATGGGATGGGTAGATGGTGGGAGGGATGAGAGCATGTGGGTTTTATTGCTTTTGAGGTAAAATGAAATTATGACATTTAACTTTATGGCCCTGTGAGCAAATGACCTGTTGTTGCACAATGATGGGAAAAAGTCATGAAGAGTTCAACGAAGATGTTAAGTAACATGAAGAGACATTTGTATGAATACTGAAATTGGTGAGGTATGTAAGTGAAGACACACCATAACATTGCTGGTTAAATAGAAGTGACTAGAAAGGACCAGTTAGATGATTTGGTCAATTGTATTTTGCTCTTCAGGCTACAGACACAATACATATCAAAGACAAATTTTTGCAGTGGAGAGCGCTAACACTTTTTTCCTCTTCAGTCTCCCTTGTTTTAAGAATTATGAGAATTGGTATCTTGAGAGGCACTCTCAGAGAGACAAAACAGCTTCTTAAAGGGATAGATCAGCATTTTCTTGAGTGGGCTTGTATCCGGTACTTATCCACAGTCAGTGTATTACCGACAGTAGATGATGGTCGTCACTTGCCCAGTTTGGACAAGCATATTTAGAATACTTTCACCACTTTACCTTGCTGTCATATAGCCCTATCAAAACTGGAGCCACTGTGGTCTCTTCAAACTCAGTCTTACTCCAAGACTTGCGGCACCAGAAACCAACGAAAAAAGGCATCCTTTAACATCGCCATGATATGCAGCTGGTTGTCGTTATAGTTTAACGGCGCCTGGCGGTGTCAGGGGGAAACGCTGTGGGACAAGGACGAAAGTAAAGGCAGCGAAAGTCCATCTGGGGCGGGCAGGAGGGGTCATGGATGGGCCCAACACTGACTATTGATAAGTTCCTCATATAACCCCACTTAAAAAAAAATCCAAACTTTGAGCGCTCTAAAATATTTTGAGTAATGGGATCTTACTTTTTTCAGCGTATTAACTGATGTACTATTAATTCGATCCTGTCTTCATCATGAAGACAGAGTTGAGGTGTTTGCTGTTATATACAGCTATGCTTTGTCTTCTGGCCAGGTTTCTGCACATTTGGTGGATGTGTTTCACAGTTGCATCATAAGTACAGACAGACCCATGCTGGTGCCTCAGTCTCTGTGCCAGTAATTGAGGATGCCCTGTCAAAGCAGCAAGAGTTGACTTGGCTGACATGTCTATTTTTCTTCCCCACACACATCCACCAGCAGCAGTCACAGCTTGTCCATATCTTGAAGTAATGTGTTACTGTGACTCATATACAGTATATGGCTTTGTACCTCAGAGATGATATATATTTTTCTGAACTCAGAGCATGAGGCAGTGAGCTGTCAGGTCCCATCAAATGGCACTTTGAGATGTTTGTGTTAAAGGAATACCATACTGTAGATCTATAGGTCTAATTTCTTTTTCTTTTCCTTTTTTGCAGTGTGAGTGAATGCTGTACTTAATCTGTTGATGTATTCCTCTGATTGAATGAATGACTTTACCTGTTGGGAAGGATGTAGGCCTATAATTGCCTCCAGTACTGTCCGTGTCAAAAGCAGGCGTACTACGTTCTGTTTTTAGATGTTCTACCGAAAGTTGTTAATTTATCAGGAAGTGATTTGGACTGTACTTTGCTCATGGTGTGGTGGATGTTTGTGTGTGTGTGTGTGTGTGTGTGTATGTATGTGTGTGTCTTGTCAAAAGGCCAAGGGAGGATTTTGGTCCCAGCTGCTGTGCACTGGGACTTGGCCTGGAGCCTGCAGACACACCCATGTCAGCATCAGCAGCTTACCTCTTATGAATGCCTCGCGGAGAGACTGCACGTAGACCACAAATCTGCTCCAGACAGACATATGGAGTAGGGACGGATGGGTAGTATCTCACAGTTTGTCAAGAATTTTTTTCATTTCAGCTCTCTTTAATTCAGCATGATTTGCATGTGTCATCCAAAATGATGCACTGGAGAACAGTCTCCCCCTTCACTCTGGGCTGGACAAGGCTGTGGATTGTATTCAAGCTACAGTTACTGTAGGGATAATCTTCTGTAATCAATAACAACATAAATCTTTTTATGTTAACATCACAGTCATGTTTATACTCACAACTGTCCCCTAGAAATAGCATTAGAAAATAAAATAACCCCGAGGCAAGGGGACTATGAATGGGCAAATCAAATGTTACGCATTTACAAAAATGTCAGTAGAATTATAAGATATGATGAAATATCTACTGGAGGGAAACTGATACAGTCTACTATAATAGTCTCCTTTAATGTGAACATATTCACACATTCACATTTTAATGGTGTAAACCATATTTAGCATTGCAGGACATGTTTTTCATACGCAGTGCAGTTTTTGCTGTAGAACTTTTGATGTCTGAGTGCATGACCGTGTGTGTGTTTGTTTGAATATGTTATCTTTGCTCACTTTTCTCTAAGGATGCCCTGCCAGTCAGAAAGTGTCATTGCAGCTTGGTCATCACAAATTCAAAACAGAAGGCTGAGTGTGCACTCGTACAGCATACAGTATAGCGTCCCCTCATATAACCGCCACACACTGACTGAAGATCATTGAGAGTCCATTTTTTGTGTCTGTTTTGAGCTTCATTAATAAGCGTTTGGCTCTGGTTGTGTAAACTGCATTACCAAATGGACATTTATAATTCATATTTCAGTAAGTGACTTAAAAGCTAGAGAGAGGGGGAGAGAGGTGGATAAGGCTACGATAGTCTAAAAATCTGTTATTCAGATAATAGATGTTTTGATAATTAAAATATATTCTCAACTACCATCTGTATTACTGTCTGGAAATGTTAACAGGCTTGTTTTTACCCATAAACAGGGAAGATTCATGATGGTAAAGGAGAACAAGACCGTTGTCTGCTGTGTATTTTATTTGTACACAACTGCATTATTAATAGATAAACTGTTTTTTTCTGTAAAATGCCAAAAAAAAAGTAAAAAAAAAAAACAAACCTTATAATTTCCCATGTTGGTGAAGATTCTCAGTCATCCAGGTCATGGTAATCTTAAGAGCTATATCCTAGCAGATTCTCAAGCAAGTCCAGTCTACAATAAAGCACTTAAGAATATAATTTTAATATAATTTCCCACAGCCCAGTGGTATTCAATAAATTGTTTTATTTGACCAGCAGTCCAACTGTCATACAGTAAATGACAAAGAAA